CATTTGCACTTCTTCCAGCTGTTCGCTAAGAAAAACTATTAAAACACAAGCAACGGAGGGGGACTCAAACAGCCTGGGTGCTGGAGTCAAGCCTGTCCTGCGGGATGAAAGTTGACCGGTAAGACCACGGTGTGATGACCGAATTGCCGCTCATCTGTTCAGATACCCAGGTCCCTGATGTGTTGTAAGCACCCCCCCTAGACCTCTGCGGTCAGAAGGCAGGCGACAAGAGACCCCTGCCCACAGAGCTGTACACACTCTTCCGCGATTTTGCTTGGTTCACTATTGCTTCTTGCACACACAGAATCAGGATTTGAGGAAAACGTTTTTGCACATGGTCTAGCCCTGCACTGCCCAATACAGCAGAGTAGCCACGAGCTGTGCAGCTCTTGAGGACTTTTAAAGGTAGAATGTCCGAACAGAAGTGCATAGGGTAATACAAAATGCACAGCCGACTTCAGGGACTTGAGACTAAGGAAGGATAGAAAATATCTCTTTTACCGTGTTTTCGTACTGATGACTTGACATACTGAGTTAAATAGATAAGTAGATCTATGGTCTGAATGACTTTTTCCAGGCTTTGCTCCCATATGTCTATGGGGCAGCAATGACTGTCTGCTGTGCATGAAGAGGAAGACATGAAACCCTGGCGTAGGAAAGGGACAGTCTGCAGGCTCAGTGCCCAGGTGTCGCCCCAGTGAAAGGCAGCCCACAAGGCAAGGAAGTCAGCATAAAGCCTACGACAGTCTGAAAGGGGACATAGCAGCAGCAGAGCTGAATCCTAGATTCACCGCAGAGCAAACATCCCTGTGTCTTGGCCCTATTCATTCTTCTCTAGTCCCATATTCCAGGAGATAGCGCTATAGCCTCGGGCAGCTGCAGAGCCCTGATGCCCAGCTCTAACCATGACCAGCAGAGGCAAGGATCGCCACAGAGCATGGAGGGGCATAGCCAGGCCAGGTAGAAGATACCTGTGAGGCCAAGTCTGGAGAGAAGTTAAGGAGATGGGATGAGATAAGAAGATTGTTTATGATTCCTAAATAATTTTCTTCCACTCATTTTTAAAAAAAAAAGAGACCAGATATGGAGACAAGGGGGGGAGGGACTTCATTTTTTTTTTAAAAAAAGGCCTTTAGTTCTATATTAAATTTTTGGAAACAAGAAAATATGGAAAAGAAAACCATAACATATTGGAGCAGAGAGATGTGGGATAAAATGGCCCTCAAATGAGAAAAGATCTGTTGAGCCTGCAGAGGCCCCAAAGACATTCAAACAAAGTTGGGGGAGGGGGTGGGGGAGATGGGTTGTATTCAATTTTCCTCCCAAACATCTAAGTCTGTATTTTGCAAGACAAGGTAGGGACGACCTACTCATGGAACAGCACGGAAAGCATCCGGAATAGCATCTTAGAGGCCTGCAGAGAGACCTTGGGGATGGGCAGGTCCTGGGAACTTAACTGGAGTGCTCCGCACTCAGGACTGAGCAGTGGTCAGAGACAGGGAGGCGCGCTGTTCCCCTCATCCAGTTCCTGTCTACAGTCCCCTAAACCAGGTCAGTGATGACAGTGGGAAACAAAAAGAAAAAAAAAAAAAAGAACGAGTCAGCAGAGCCAGTAGCTGAGTGAACACGGAGAGAAAGGCTGAGTGTGCGAGCTGGGGTTGGGAGAAGCGCACGGCTGGGAGGGCAGGAGGGTGAAAGAGCTCAGGGGGTGGGGCTAGAGGCTGGCCGGGCTCAGGAGTTTCAGCTGTTGGTCAGTTTGCACTCCCTGCTCCTCAGCTCCAAACCTACACTGCTAAGGCGTCCCTGGAAAGACCTCCCAGAAACCATCCAGCCTTTTAGACCGGCTCCTCTGATGCAAAAAGCTCCATCCGGTACCTTGATCCAGGAGGAGAACGCCTACTTCATGCGGGCTTCCTTCTCTGAGAGAACAGCAGGCAGCCCTCAGCAGAAGGTCCATGCATACATACACTCTCTAAGCAGGGATGAGGACTCTGCAGTGACTACAAATCCCACTTTTCTGGGGTCCATGTGCAAGGAGGGGTTGAGGCAGTCGAGAGAAAAGCAAGTTCTTCAAGCATATCAAGGCAGCCCGCTGCTCCCTTCCAAAGCTCTTCCAGAGGCCTTTAGCATACCATTCCCTGGGCCTCCCCAGCACCTGGCACCAAACGCCACCTAGAAAGCACTTTCTGACTCAACCACCTAAGTCATCCAAGAAATAAACACCTCACAATTTAATGACCCACAGCGGAAAATGCTCCGAAACCATAAAGCATCCTTACACACGGAGCTGCTTCGTGTCAGTAATTACTTCTTCATATTAAGTTTTTGTTGTAGTTGTTGTTCCAAAAAGTTCTGCAAACACTTCAAGAACAAGCTACAGGGGCCAGCTGTGCAGAATACTAATTTGAAACAGTTCATAAGATCCTCTTACAAAGTCGGGTTGGGTGAAGATGCTTTTAATATCTATTTAAATTCTAAATAAAAGCTACCTTCCAAGGAATACATCCAATTGAAAGGTTAAAAAAAAAAAAGTGGGAGAAACCTTGGGTCCAAGAGATTAAGAGATAAGCTCAGGCAGCTTTAAACTCCTGAGAAGTTCTTTGAATACGGAGAAGCTGGCATCATCAAAACACAGCTGCATGGGCTACAGTCAACACACCAAGATGGGGGAGGCATCTTTCCATATTTTCCTGTTTCTTCAATGAAGTGTTCAGGAAGGAGATAAGAAACCCCCAAACACCAGCTTAACTCTTACAACACACCTCGGGCTTCTACAACTTTTCATGGTAAAACAGGCCAAAAAAAAAAAAAAAAAAAATCTAACCTGGGCTGCCCTTCCTTCCTCACTGACTGACTCCAGGATGGCAGAGCCAGGAAGAAAGATAAAGACAAAAGTACCACTTAGTGGATGAAGCTGGAAAGCAAGCAAGGAAATATTCAATGCAGTTTTCCAAATCTGTAACAGCTGAGCCTAGCTAAGGGCCCACTTGTAAATCATCTTCATTGCTGAGCTGTTGCTGGGATGTCTAGTGGGTAGTGCAAGGCAAGGAAAATCTGCCTGGCCTTGAACCCTGGGGGGGATGCAGGCTATGTGTGTGCCTGACTGGGAGATGGGGTGGAGGGTGGGGGAGGCTGCATGTCAAGCTGAAGGCTTGGTAACTTACACTGGCAGAAGCGCTGAGGAGTGAACCCTTGGCATCCTCACTCACTCTGACCAACGGGCCAAGAGCCAAGCCCTTCCCTCCAGGGTTCACAAACTGAATCTCTAGACACAAGGTAGGTATTATGGGAGGAAACTCACGCTGAAAAGTGTGGCTGTTTGCTCTAGGGGGGCACAGGAAAGTTACTCACAGAAGTCGGGACCTTTCTCACGGAGCACCCCACCCCCACAATTTGAATAATAGTGAGGAACAACCTGTGCAGATAATAATTACTCCAAACATCAAAATATTCCTTCTAACATCTCCTAACTCACATCTGTGAATTCCAAAACCAAGGTGTCCCTTCGGAGACAAGGTTTCAGCTACCTGATCTCTATCTCAGCAAACAAGAATAGCCAAGGACAGAACCACTGTTGATACGGATGCGGCAGGGAGGGGAAAGTCGAGCTTCTTTAATCCCCTCTCCACACCCTTCAACTGCGGGGTAAAATGTGTGTGTGGGGGGGGGGACGCACCTCTTGTGACTTCCAGCACCGTAGAATTCTTGGTAAGGTCCGCTACCACCCTCTTGGCTGCCTGGCAAGCTTTCTGGCTCACTGGCTAACTTGCCAAGCACATTACACTGGAAGTTGTTGTAGCCAGCAATGGCTACTCTCACCCTCCTTCCCTGGGTAGAGGGGGCAGCTGGAAGTCTAATTTAGGAGGATCTAACCATCTTAACTTTACTTCCAGAATACCAAACTTGTCACAATTCAAACGGTTTACATATATAGCTGTTCTTAACAAATCTGTTAATCTATTAAGTCTTTCGTTGTAGGCACTTTATCCTCAAATTGAGGGGGAAGGGGCTTAAAACGAGGAATTAGTCACGGCCCTGCAGAACGGTTTCTGCACATTTAAAGGGGGAGAAGGGAGAAAAGGGGCCGAGACCACCCAGGTCTGACAGGTGGAAGTTCTGCATTCTGGAAACACCAAATAAGCATTTCCTCACTAGCTCTCCTTGACTTGGAGATCGCCAGCCTGCCCGCTCGCCAACAGTCAGAACTTAGGGGTAAGGGCTACCAGCTGGCACTGCAGGTTCCTCAACCCCCTCTAATGTCCTTCCTACCCTCTTAGGGGACCGCGACGCTACAGGACAGCCGCGCCTCTAAGTCACCACCAGCACCGCTATCAGAGTCAACTAACTCTACATGGCTTTCAGCCCACGCGGTAGGCAACTTTCGATCCCCAAAGGGGAGGAACCAGGTTCCCCAGTCACCGTATTCTCGAGAAGTTTTTCGAGAGACGCGCAGCTTCTTGGCCGAGCGCGATGTCCACAGTCCCAGAAGAGAGAAGGATCTCGGCCGCCATCCTGGGCACCGAGCCCAGGAAGCTGCCCTCCCGTCGCCAGCCAGGCTCTAGTCCCGGACCGCTGCGTCTCCATCTACGCCGCCGAAACCGCGGGGTTCAAAATCGCCCCGGTTCCGGCCTTGGTGCGCGCGCCACAGGGACACAGCGCAGAGCTGGAGAACCTACTGGCAGGGGCAGGGAAAGAGCAGGAGGCGACCACCACTCACTCTCCTTTCGCCCGGCCAGCGGGAGCTCGCCCAAGTTTGCCAAACCCCAGCCGCAGTCTCCGAAAAGTTTGCGCTCCTTCACGGAGGTAGCCTGAGCAAGGAACGCTGGAGCCACGCGGGTCCAGACACCTGCCGGTATCTCCGCTCCATCTCTAAGGAATCCCGCCAGGTTATGCTGGGACGGACCCGGGAGCGTGAGTGCGTGACTCTCCGCCGGACCGCAGCAGCATCCGGACCGCAGCAGCATCCTCACACCTGAGGAGGAGGGGGAGCATGGACTCACCTGGGAGCTGGAAGAGGAGGCGACACAAGCAGGTGGCTGGCGTGGGCAGCCCCCAGCAGGAGCGGCGCGGTGACTACGGCGCCCAGACAGCTGCCGCGAGTGAGCGGTCCCGCCGCCGCCCCCTCCGATCTTAACCGGCCTGACCACTCCCCCGCGGCTCCCCGCCCCTGCCCCCGCCCCGCGGCCGGCCTCCCGGGGGAGCCAGGGCGGGGCGCGCTGGCCGCGGCCCCGCGGGATCCTTGCGCCCGGCGCTAACGGCGGGGGCCGGGCGAACGCCGCCCTCTGATTGGCTCCCCGGGTCAATGGTTGCCGAGAGACAAGTAAACCTCCGGGTGCGAAGGGGAGGGGTAGCCGGGAGGTAGCGTTGCGCAGGCGCAATAGAGAGGAGCTGTGTCGCCACCAACATAGGAGTTGAGCGGATACTTTTCGCTCTGTCTGCTACTCTCCTCTCTTGTGCTTGCTTTCCCTAGCCCCGACTGTTCTCACCTCCTCCCCTGGCGGGTGCGTTTTCTTTCTGAGTTTTTGGCGCTCTTGAAACCAATGGCTCCCTGGTTGCGGGAGTCGGGAGTGGAAGCCCACGCCTGTCTCGCGCGGTGTTTGTGAAGTCGGAAAACTCTTAGATGGGCCCTGGAAATCTTTCTTAGTCCTCGAGCAAATTGGCTGGAGGTGAGATCGTGGTCCTGGGGAAAAGGAAGCAGCTGATTCTCTGGCCCCGGGACCACCTGTGGTGCATGCAGTTAGTGGACCCGGGAATCACAAATGCCGAAAGCCCCGCAGCTTGGCTGTTTTCAGAATGTCACAGGGTTTTGTGGGCTGTTATTACTTGCCGGTGGGGGACCCCGGGACACTGCCCTTAAATCCAGTGCACGTGGTTGATGGCTCTGCTTCAGAATTAAGGTTAAAGAGTGAGAATCTCCCGCACCACCTAACTATCTAGAAGGCCTTGAGAGGAGCTGTTTTTGTTTGGGTTTGGGTTTGGGTTTTTGAGACGCTGTCTCCTGAACCCAGACAGACCTCTAGGTAGCCTTGACTGACCTTTAGTGGATTGTTCCTCCTGTGTTCACCTCCCGGTGGCTGGGATTACACACCCAGCCTTGCTGACCGGCTTAACCTAGCCTCCCTAAACCTCTATTTTCCATCTGCAGGATGGGAGTAAAGATGGGATAATATTAGGAAAATAGTTATTAATCGTGCACTACTTGGAATAAAGTGCATGCCAGATGCTATGTAAGCCAGAAATCAGTCATCAATAAACACTTGTTGAGCTTCGTTTGCTCCTCTACTGGCTAAGTGGTGGTCAAGACGGCTTCCTGAACCAATGGTCTCCTCTGCTCTCTCAGCACCCTTGCCTAGCGTGAGTGCCCTGCAGCGCCTGCTGGGCTATGAAGAGTTCCCAAGTACAGGCTTTCTCTAGTAGGGGAGTGGAATCCCAAGAAACTGTACCAGTATAAGACATCAGCATGAGAACTTACAGAGATTGGTTGTCCCTGTTCTTGAACACACATTCAGGGCGTATGGTCAGTTTTGTTGTTGATGGCGTGAGCCCTGTCAGGTCTCACAGTGTCTATTATTATAGCAGAATGACGGGCGTGTATACTCACAGAGCTGTCACCCAGAACAATCCAGCTTAGCCATGGCCCCTGCCACGCAGTATCTCACAGGGCTACCCACAATAAGGTCTCAGTCTTCATCTATCAGTTGTACTGGTATTTGAACTAGATGTGGAATAGAGGGTGAGTATTTTTCTACGAGATTTCTCTGTTGTATGTAACGGCGACTCATTCTTCCCAACTGCATATTCATTAGATAACCAACAATTCATGTACTCAATTTCCTGTTTGGTAGACATTGTGGTTGCTTCAGGTTTTTCATGGTCCACAGTTGCTAGAGACATTCTTCTATGTGTAGATGGAGCATTCATTCTTGTCAAACACATGCTGGGGATCGGAACTTCTGATTTACAAAGTTTACACATGTTAAGCTTTACAGATATTTAATATATTTATTAATGAGTAATAAAAATAGTGACAAAAGGAAAAAAATTTTTTAAATTGAAACCATGAAATAAAAATGGATAGATTTTTAAAGCTAAAGAGGCCAACTCTGTTCCCACCAGTGCTGTAAGGTTCTTGGAAGTTCCACACTTACCAGTTTGCTATCGCGGTGTTTAAAATGTTTTAACCACATTTTATTGTTGAAGGGAGATGTGCACTCCACAGTGGGTGTGTGGAAGTCATAGGGTAACTTCTGGGATTGGTTCTCTCCTTCCACCGCGTGGAATCTGGGGGTAATGTCAGGTCGTCGTGAGACTTGGCCACAAACAGCTTTACCCTCTAAACCAGCTCCCTGGCCCAAGTGTTTTCTTTTTAAATTAAAGACAGGGCCATGTAGTTCACTGTAATCAAACATTATTTCTCTGGCGATCAATGTTCTGATCAACTTTCAGATGCTTATCATCCATTATGATGGCCTTTGAAGGAAGAATCCATTTGTTCTGTTGCCTGTTGGAACTCTACAGATTCTTTACATATTCTTGACAGAAGTCCTCTGGTATGTCTGTTCCAAATACCTTCTCTCAACCTGGGGCTGACTTACAGTTTAAAGTTAATGTTATTTTCCCATTAAAAGAATTTCTTAATTTTTAACCAGCCCAATTTATCAATCTTATCTTTAATGCTCAGAGTTTTATGTCCTGTGTAAGCAATCTCCGCCTATCCCAAAGCCACCGAGAGAACGGCCTTTGTCTTCTGAGAATTAGGTCTCAAGCCTTGAGCAAATAACCTGACCTTCTGCAAAGCTCCAGCTCAATACCACTCAGGCCAATTATTACCTTGGCTTTTGACATGGATACTGTCATCAGAGGTAGCTATTGATCTTATTAGGTTTTAGTTAGCATGCAAATTAGTGGTTTTCACCACACCACTTCATGCCTACATGTCTGTCAGACACTTTGGTCCCCACCCTCTCAGGTCCCCGCCAGGCCCAATCCCACCCCAGCTGGCCCCTTCTCTTTCCTGTTAGTCCCTTCTACTTTCTTACTTCAGGTAGACCTCTGAGCCTAAAGTTTGCTCTGGCCTTTGCTTAGGTGACACTTTGTCGACTTCCTGAACACACTGGGTAATCCTGTGATGGGGAGATGGGGAGAAACAGACCCAGGAAAGAAACTTACCATATTCACACATGTGTAAATTTTTTCCTCACTTTTTAGGATTCCTACAGCCTTTCTAAACATTTTGAAGAGTTTTGTTTTAGTTTTTAGTACACTGTGTTCTTTCTACCTCATAAAACTGCGCCACCCTGAAGCTGGCAGGAGGCTCCGGAAGCAGCCAGGTCCTGCCCACTGGACCTGGAACCAGATATTTAAACCGTCCCTCCAAGACTCCCGGTGCCTTTTTGCTGGATTTCAGCCTCTACTGGTGCACAGCCGATCAAAATGCTTCAAGGACCACTTTTCTTCGTTTGGTATAATCCGCTGGTTTGTGTCCAGAGAAGCCGAGGGTGGGGAAACAGATAAAACAGTCTTTAAAATGCAAGGGTGCCCCTAGAAATAACCCTAGAAACTTCATGTATCAAGAAAATCACTTTAAGTGCTCCAGTGAAGCAAAGAAATTCCACCATTACAGCCTTTGTTGAGTGAGAGACTTGTCCCCTGATTTATCAGTTTCCCATGTCTTGAATTTCTGATTACTTTATCTCAGAGTGAGTCATCATAATATTTATTCAGATGTCTCCTAAGTCTCTCTCTTCGAATGATTGATTTCAACTTGATTAACATATGTATAAAGGTGTGCCGGGCCTCAATAAGAACACAGCTTAATGGATATGTCCCCCTCACACACACACACACACACACACACACACACACACACACACGGAGCAAACCTGAGCTACCTACATATAGATCAAAGAATAAAGAAAGAACAAAGTGAGTGTGACATACTTTAATATGGAGGCTTTGTCTACACCCCAGTGAGTCAGGGGCAGGAAGGACCATGGTTTGGCTTCCCAATGACCACCTGAAGGCCTAGAGTGCTCACCAGTGAACCTGGTTCCTCTCTAGCTTCTTCAGGTCAATTTTTCCTGCCCTTCCTTCCTTCCTTCTTTTCTTCCTTTCTTTTTTTTCTTTTTCTTTCTTCTTTTTTGGCATTGCAGAAAGAGAATGGAGTCTGGACGGAATTTGTGGTTTGGATGAAAATGCCCCCATAGACCCATAGGGAGTAGCTCTATTGAAAGGTGTGTCACTGGGGATGGCCTTTAAGGTTTCAGAATCCCAACCAGGCCCAGTGGCTGGCTCTCTTGCACTGTTTGCAGATCCAGGTGTAGAACTCTCATCTCCCTCTCCAGCACCATGTCTGCCTGCGTGCCACCATTCTTCCTATCATGCTGATATTGGACTGAACCTCTGAACTGTAAGCCAACCCCAATTAAATGCTTTCCTTTATAAGAGTTGCTGTGGTCATGGCGTCTCTTCACAGCAATAGAAACCCTAACGAAGACCAATGCCCAGAACGAACGGACCCGAGGATGTTGTTGTTTGAGTGGATGGACCAGGGAGGAGGATGGCTGCATCACTGATGTTGACTGTGACAGCAGGCACAGCCTCGCATGGTGGAGGAGGGGCTGCAGCTGAGTAGTAAGTATCATGAAGGGGACATGGCGGGGTGGGTATGATGGGGCCCAGAAAGCAAGGGTGACTAAGTCCCTGGCAAAGAGATCATCGGTGACAACCCATGCCGACGGCTTCCTAGCCACCTCCAATACTTTTTTCTGTCCACCTCTCTGAAAATGTGTCCTTGGAAAAAGGACATTGGACAGAGTCATGTGGCTTGTAGCCCTGTCCTAGCCAAGCTCTAAACTTGGACAGATAGCTTCATCAGTCTGAATCTCAACGTCCTGATCCAGAGACAGAAAGAATGACGGAATTTACCGACTTGCTTCATGGAACTGTGTGTTACAGAGGAAGGGGAGGGGAGGGCAGGGTCCTCTGCCAACTCGGCAACCTTTTATCCCATTACTGACTGTTAGGACAGGTTGGCAAGCAAGTCCCAAGAGAGCAGGGGAGGATACATTCTCAACACCTTTCTGTGTTTGCCCTCACTTCTACAG